GAGGGGTGTATATGCTATAATCTGTTATGCAGTTTTGTAGTTCACCCTACCAACCTATTATGTGAAAAGGTTATTGCCATGTTGAGGGGTGTGAAGATATAAGTTATTATGTTACTTTGTTAGTATCACACAAAGTTCCATCTGCGTGATTTTCACACAAAGATGATAACTTCGCATATGCACTGATAATTGTGTTATTTTTATAATGAGAACTTCTTTTTATTTCTGAAATTTAACATAATACTTTTTTTAGTTTGATATTAGTTTTGAAGGTGTTTGTACCTTATACGATATGGGGGCAATTAAAACGGATAAGGAAATTCCTTTTGGTTCAGACCAGATTGAAAATAATATAAATGATCTGAAAGAAAAGCTTAGAAAAGACATTTCGCCTCTCTATCAACAATATTATTCTAAAGTAAATGCTATATCTATTCAAAGCTTAACCTGAAAGGATCCTTTGGCCAGCCGAGTTATTAGCGATCAATCAGAAGTTGTCAAGCAGTTGTCATCAAATCTAAAAAAGGCATTTAAGATAGGTAACCATAAATTCGTTGAAGGTTCTTTGAGAATAAATATAACATATTTTTTATATTAGAAACCTGCTCATTAAATGACGCCTACTCCTATGACGATAGTTAAAGAGATGTGTGGAAATTTCATAATAAGTTTTATTGATCATAACATTCAGAATACAATACCAGATAAACTAATTCACGATGGGTCCTGGAAAGAATCGGAGGAAAAAATCGCGGATGTTATAAAAGAAGTTTTAATTCTTCTGGAAGATATTTAGATTAACCCAGCTTTTAATTCTGAACTTGTGAAATCGCTAAATGAAGGAACATATCAATCAACAGTTATTCTATTGTCTATTCGAGCAACATTAAAAAACCTTCCTTTTAGACTATCCTCATTTATCAGTACTTCAGAATGACAGAGTATTACTAGTGCGGATAGGAAAGGCGAAGGGCAGGTGGGAAGACAACCAGATATAATATATGTAGTAAAATATTTAGATGTTTTCTTTGAGCTTATTTATATCGAATGTTCGCGAATATACTGTAGTCAACAGAAAAAGATAGATGATGAGATAAAGCTATGGAGAGAAAGTAACGATGGAATGTTCTGGGTTCGTAAAGTCCATAAACCGGAGAAAGGTCAATTTGGAATTGTTGGAGTGCAAGTAGCTGGGAATATGTTGCATCTGAATGTACTTATTAGAGATAAAGCAAATGTTCATAGATATTTTTATTTACAATCGGCTGAATTTCCTGTGCAATTGTCAGATGTGGGTATTGTAACTAAATTTGTGAAAATCCTTTTACTTTTACGAAACATATTAATTACAAATTTGTCCCTACTATATCACGCATCTATTTCCATATCAGAAAGACAAAAAGAAGATAGT